GAAATATCAAAGGTTTACACCATCAGGTTGCGAAGCTATATGGGTTAGAAAATTTGAGTTTGTTGCAAAAACTCAATTTCTTTAGTTCAAACCTCAAAAAGTCCAGAAAAATTGGCAGACATAATTGAAAGAATTGGGCTACTGTGAATAAAGAGGTCATGGTTAAATGTCAGCGAGCCTAAAGTTTATAACCCATTTTACCACTTTTTTGTTGCATTATGTACTTTAATTAACCCTATCCCTGCTGGGGTACTTGAAAACCAGGATATGCTGGGGGGGGGTCAATTTGACCCCCCCCCCTCTAAGTCCCATGTTTGATGTCCAAATATGACAAATGATACATCATTGGAAAGCTCTTGTGCTCTACTTTTATAATCTGCAAAAAAATTTGCAAATTTGCAAAAATTGAATTTTTTATCGAAAAATGTTTGCAAAAAAAAATTTGTCCAAAAAATAAAAAATTATACATTTTTGAAAAGCCCTTGACCATGCCATTTCAAATATGCAAAAATTTTTGCAAAATTTTAAATAACCTGATTTTTAATCAAGAAAAACTAAAAATGTGCAAATTTCCTTTGACAGGTTGTTTGCAAAAAATTTGCAATTTTTTTTCGCAAAACTAGTGCAATCTGTTTCTTTATGTCATAGGCCTTCCAAAAAGCTAAATTTTATCAAAATCTGACAAGTGAAAGTGGGTCAAAACAAAGATTTAGTTTGTTACAGGAAAAAACAGTCATTCAGGCAGTGTGCCTGAGAACTCAGGCAGTTAGTATTAAAGCCCGGTTTTAGGCCTAAAGGGAGGGCTTTGGGTATGTAGGAAAAGTCAGAAAATTTCAACAGCCTCAGACTAATACTTTTTGAGTTATGTAAAAAAAAACTATAGGGGGGGTCAAATTGAAAGAAAAAAAGCCAAACATTTGTGCGGGAGATGCAAAAGAAACTTTAATACTGCACAATTGAAAGGGATATAAAACAAAAGGGATAGTGTTGATCGAGCTACAGAAGAGAATATGCAAAGGGGTTAAGATGACAAGGATAAGGGTAGGAATACAAAAGAGAATGTCATCTACCAATTGGTCATGGTTGCCAATAATAAGAGTAATACAAGCAAGTTGTGAGTGGGAAGGGCGGGGGGTGATGGGGGTGTTGAGGTGGGTGATAAAAAGGATTAATTTAAACGTAGTAAAGGAATTGAGTATTTGTTGCAAACTCTGATTTTCTAATCCCTATATCTCTGCAAACCAACATCGTAGACATTAGATATAAACTATAAATTCTGTTAGAACAAGTAATCGGAGTTTGAAGTATCAAAGATTTGCACCATCATGTTACAAAGATGTAAGTATTAGAAAATTCGAGTTTTTGCAATATTAAGCATAATGCATGTATAGAGATTAAGCTTAATTGAGAAAATGGTATATTTTAAATAACGTACTTGATTTAGGAAATAAATCTAAAACTAAGTTAAGAAGCTGATCGTTGTTTTCCATCATTAAAGTTGGAATATTGGGAACAAAAAATCCAGTGATAACTTTGTAAAATAACATTGATTTTGAAACAACTAATTTTTTTTACATTTCTTTAGTGTGACTGCAAATAGTTGAGAATGTTGTTGCTGTTATTACTGCTAGCTGTTGAGGGTAGAGGAGAGGGGGGAAAGGATAGCACCTCCCTTCTGGCAAATGTTGGCTGTGATGGACGAAGTGGGAAGAAAGAGTTACTGGATATGTCTGTGGCACTTTTACATGCTCACAGGTTAGTGGTGCAGGGTGCTAACAGGTTAGTGGTGCAGGGTGCTAACAGGTTAGTGGTGCAGGGTGCTAACAGGTTAGTGGTGCAGGGTGCTAACNTCCGGCTGAAAATTGTAACACACACTCATCTGGCGGCGGTCGGAGGGCCCTTTATATAGGGTTTGAAAGGGGGGAAAAAGGGTATTTGCGCTGAGGAAAAAAAGGGAGGGGCGGCCTAGTCCGTAGGGACAATTAGGGCCTTCTAGAAGGAGGGGGGTAAAAAGGGTATAGAGCGAAAGGGAGGGGAGGCCTAATTCGTAGGGATAATTAGGGCCTTATGGCCTGGTTCGTAGGGGCAATTAGGGCCTTCTAGAAAAAAGGGGGGAAAAAGGGTATAGATAAAAAGGGAGGGGAGGCCTAGTCTGTAGGGACAATTAGGGTCTTCCCAAAAAAAAGGGGGGGGGGAAGGAAAGGCTTGGCTTACAATTCAAGCAAGTAATTAGGGTAATCAACGTTATTAAATCAGGCATGATTACAGCAAAATTATAGATAGGAACACTGAAATTAGTTTAAATAGTATGATTATGACATGATTTTGACAAATAAGGTATTGATTGGGCTCGGCTTGTGCTTCTATTCATCGAATACAAGGTTCACGCTGGCCTCACTACTGCTATCGCTCACATCCTCATCCTCAGAGTCCAGAGAGAGAGGCTGGAATAAATAAGGCATATTAGATAAAATTAGAAATATATGTCTATCTATATAGATATATAGGCATAGACATATACAGAACCTTTTGTGGCAGTAAAAAAGACATAGCAAGGTTTTTAAAGAAAGAAATAACAAACCACTTTATCACGTTTATTTCGTTATTTGTACATGACATACATGCGTAAAATATCGAGAAATGTTGTAGCAATTGGAAAGTTATTAGCACATATGTTTTGGAAATGGTCCCTTTAATTTGCAAATATATATTAGATATAGGCGGAGAGTAAAGAGGGAGAATAAATACCAGTCTAGCAATAATTTTATAAGATTTATTTAGAGGAAGTTTATCTTGCCCGGATATTAGAAAGGATGAGAAATTAACAATGGTACGCTGTATAATACTGTAATTTCTAACTAGAAAAACCTAATGTATATGAAAAAGTGCGGAGTTTCTTGCCAACCCCAGAGAACTATACATCCAAATCCGGATGACAAATTATAAAAATCGAACAAAAGGCAAAACTAACAAATACTTTGCAATAAATATGTATTATAAAGGGCTGTTGTATATTTACGTTATTAAAATAATTAAATTTAATCGTCTTCCTTTATTCTTTTATTTCATTCAAGATGGTTAATTAATATAATGAAAAGAAATTCAGTGCGATTTTTAAATGATTAAGATTAGAATAATTACAATAAGAACTGATCAGAAATATTAAATACATTCCATGTCCAATGTTTTAAATGATTAAGATTAGAATAATTACAATAAGAACTGATCAGAAATATTAAATACATTCCATGTCCAATTGCTTTAACGGTAATTTAAAGTTTTCTGCAGAGTGAAGTTTAGTATAATGTATAGATGAAAATGTTCGCTAAAGTGTCACGTCGCTCTCTCTAATAATCGACCTGATCTAGAAAGCCATTTTTTTCAGTTTTATTGCATTTGATGTTGACATAAAAATAAATTTTTTTTTCGTATGAATTTTGTTTGTCGAAAACTAATTCATTATTAAACAAGTTAACATCAACCCTATAAATATTTAAGAATTTAAATTTATCATTATTTATGTTTCCGCATTTCCTACTGATATCTAAATCTAAAAGCTTGGCCTTGTCTGTAAACTACGGAGAATAAAAAGTATAAATCTAGGAACTCGAAACAAAACAACTATTTTAGAAATCAACTTTCTCGTTCCAGTGTTTTTATTCTGTCCATTTAACCTGGGTTCTTGCGTCAAAGTTTCTAAAAGCAATTTCCCGGATTTGGGGAAATTATATTTGGCGGGAAATTAGAATGGTTTGAAATATCTCCCGGATGGACGGGCACAAATATTGTCAATGGTTCAATTTGTACTGCTGAAAATCCCTAGACAAAAGCAAGAAATATAAGAGATGGAGTAGAGTGGAGTTTCCTGGATTGGAAATATGGAACTAGAAATCTGGTGAAATGAAAGATGGAGAGATTGTTATGCACTATACAGATTAGGTTTCACAGGTGGAACAAGTAATAAAAAAGATTTTAAATGAAAATTCTTATTTTTCGGAATTTTTATAAAATTGTGTCTGGACTATGTAATAATAATTTGTTGCTATGGCTAAAGCATAGACGAATCTAGCTCGTGTAAAGAAAATATATAGATAGAGTACGTAATTTAAGGACATTCAGACAACATAGAAAATAAAACATTCTACTTTTTAGACTTGCATACACAAAAAAATACTAAGGACTCCATTTATAAAATTAGCTTATATCAAAGTAAGACGAAATGTGATATATATTTATCAAGTTGTTATAAAGCAAAACGCATTTTTGTTGTATGGATTTTCTTTAGATTTTTACAAGTTCTAGGATTAGATGTATCCGTTGTCTGTTAAATTGAAAAAGTTTCTTGTTTTTCCGACATATTTCTTGACATTTTGTGACAGGCGTGGACATGATATTCAGTTTTATTTTCTGATTTGTTTTGGACAGTTTAGATATCTTTTTATCCTGGACAATATCCAGGAACATGGTATATCATCAGATATAAATCTATAACATCCCGCGGATATCTTTTTATCCTGGACAATATCCAGGAGCATTGTATATCATCAGATATAAATCTATAACATCCCGCGGATAACTTTTCTTTGAAAATCCAGTCTTAAAGGGACTGTAAGTGTAATTTCAAGTGCCCTTCCATCCAAAGATGTCATTCCACGAGCTACAACAGTACCTTAATTAGCTTTTCCATAAAACGGAGCGTACATTTTGAACTCAACTCAGTTGCCGCTACATGTATTCCTCGAAAATCCAGAACATTCTCTGTCAAAAGCATTTTTTCAAAAAATCAAATGAAAAGATTTATTTTCTTTGACTTCTAGAAAGTCAATATTAATATTTCTTTATTAAGATACAGCTTAAAAACTAAGTATTCAACAATTAAGAACGCTAACCCTATCCCAATTACGTCGGAAAAATATCGAAAAATATTTATTTTTACTCTTCACAAATATTTACATAAGCCATATATTCTTACATCCATTTTTTGCGGGCTTTTTGAATAAATGGATCTTAGATCATGTCTCATAAGTAATAACGCAAATTATGGGTACATTTTGAAACTCTTACCAGACGAAACGACCGTCTTCCACCCTAGCATTTACAATTTTTTGTTGTTGCAAAATTTGATCACAGCTATGTAGTTAAAAGAGTGAAGAAGTTTTAGTGTTATAGTGTAAACCGTTTTTAAGTTATGGAGAACAAATCACATGAGAAGGTAGAACCTACCCCCCCCCCCCCTCAATCGTGATAGGGTTAATAAGTAAAGTCGACATCCTTGATAAGTTAAAGGTGTGAAAGGTATCCTTATAAATCGAACATGCCACAAGTAATACAAATACAGTCCTTTTAATACTAAGTCAATAAGTACATACAGGGTGTCCCAAAAAACATGGGAATTCAGTGACGAATTCGATATCGTCTTTGTTATGAATTAGCATTGTAATACCTAATTTCAAAAGCCGTAATATTATTATGTCTGCTATAGTTTATTTAATGAAAAGGGTAAAAGACTGAAAAGATGTGTCAATAATGTCTCCGCAAGATGAACAGTGAATACAGACAAGTTTACTCTGTTTGTATACTGTAATTTTCTTGTTTTACTAAGTACAACCGGTTGCAGTCAAAACATAAACAAACAAAATGTAAACATAGCAGACGAAACTCTTACAGATTACAGCTTTCTCAGTAGGTATCACTATACTAAATCTAAGAATTATTCATAAAGACGATATCGAATTCGTCATTGAATTCCCATGTTTTTTGGGACACCCTGTACATGGTGTTTATATTTAGGACTTTGTCTCACCAGTATTGGCTCTAATTGTTCTCCGAGAAAATCTAAATTAGAGAGTCATAACATTGTTGTTTATGTAAACAGGTAAACTTTTTATAAGTAACAAGGAAACATCATTTATCAATAATCATTTCTTTACTTTTAATAATCCTAACAAAACTGGTATTTTTAATTCTTTCAAATATCTAATATATGCGAGCTTAGGGTGTAAATTTCTTAATATTTTGAGAAAGTATCACTTTATAATTTTTTCCTGATCAATTTGATTTATGAAAAATATACAATTAAACACTTTTCGAAATTAAGAGCGGAACCTTTCTTGTCATACCTAGCTTTGTTTATCACCTAGGAGTTTATTCTTAATTCAGTAAATAACATATTTTCAATATGAAGTTGATTATGTTGTTTAGTACTCCTTACTGTTCAACTATAGAGCTGGAACATCACAGGGGTCCTTGCAGGTGAAGAAAATATATCAAAACAATTATTTAAACCAAAACAAAATTAACATTTAACGTTTTTATTTTATCATTATTGATACAAATTCTCTTCTTAAAAATTGTTGTATGCTTAGTTTTTATGTTTCATGCCTAAACTAACATCGTCTAACTGGTTTAGACATCTATAATATTAATATATTTTTGTTATAAAAAATGTTTATCATGATATTTCATTGATTGTTTTCAAAGATAAAAAGAATTTGAAAATATTTTTTCTTTTGTTTTTACATCTGAATTTCACTCAGAAACTTTGTTGAAGTAAAAGTTTCAGCGTTTCATTAAAACGGCTTTGATGCATTTATTTTTAAACGAACTAGGAATAAAGTAAAATCCTAGCAAGCAACCTGATGGAAGTTTTAGGTTTTTTGTATTTTTCCATGCCAGTAAATCAATGTAGCTTTAAAAAAGTCCGTTTATTTAAGTAATATTTTAATTGACATTAATTTGAATTTGTTTAACTTATTTGGAAATGATTTTTAATTATGTATTTTTTTTCGAAAAATTCTAAAAGCAAAATAGATGAGTTGTTTGTTAAATAATAGAAGCTGATTTTATTTCTCTTTTTTTTGTGACAAAATAATAAGATATTGATATAAGAAAGTTATTGGCTATTTTAAACTTTTTAAACAACGACCGGCATTGTATGCATTAAATAATATTATTTTTTACTAAAGTCCTTCAATTACAATTCCATAAAAGTCAAGAAAGTTAAAACATGCTTGAACAGTTTTAATCATGGAGAAATTCAAATTCATTTTTGCTTCCGACAACATATCCTTTCAACATACACTTAGGAATGATTGTTTTTTAAAGTAAGATGAAAATGTGGCAAATCTAATCTAAAATCTTAAAATTAAATCAATTAATCAATTAATTGATTACAGATGTGATTGTGATGAGACCCTGAAATCTTGCTCAGCATTTAGGGATCAAGTTCTACGATATTATAGCCTTCTAAACTTCAAATTCTACGATATTATAGCCATCTAACCTTCAAGTTCTACGTTATTATAGCCTTCTAACCTTCAAGTTCTACGATATTATAGCCTTCTAACCTTCAAATTCTACGATATTATAGCCTTCTAACTTTCAAGTTCTAGGATATTATAGCCTTTTAACCTTCAAATACTACGATATTATAGCCTTCCTACCTTCAAGTTCTACGATATTATAGCCTTCTAACCTTCAAATTCTACGATATTATAGCCTTCTAACCTTCAAATTCTAGGATATTATAGCCTTCTAACCTTCAAACTTCGATATTATAGCCTTTTAACCTTCAAATTCTACGATATTATAGCCTTCTAACCTTCAAGTTCTAGGATATTATAGCCTTCTAACCTTCAAGTTCTACGATATTATAGCCTTCTAACCTTCAAATTCTACGATATTATAGCCTTCTAACCTTCAAGTTCTACGATATTATAGCCTTCTAACCTTCAAGTTCTACAATATTATAGCCTTCTAACCTTCAAATTCTACGATATTATAGCCATCTAACCTTCAAGTTCTACGATATTATAGCCTTCTACCCTTCAAATTCTACGATATTATAGCCTTCTAACCTTCAAGTTCTACGATAGTAAAGCCTTCTAACCTTCAAGTTCTACGACATTATAGCCCTCTAACCTTCAAGTTCTACGATATTATAGCCTTCTAACCTTCAAGTTCTACGATATCATAGCCTTCTAACCTTCAACTTCTACGATATTATAACCTTCTAACCTTCAAGTTCTACGATTTATCTAGCCTTCTGTATCTTAAAACAAAATCTATGCAAATTTTCATCTTCCTTACTTTATCTAGTTTACTGTGAACAGATCATTAAACTGCGGATTTTTCATTCATGGATTGTAAAAAATCAAAATAAATTGCCAATGTTTTTTCCTGATTAATTTTTTAAATTTAACAAGCCATAAACCTTCCACGTGGTTATGTAAGATGCAAAAACAAAAATTGGCTCGATTGGTTTAGCCGTTTTGACGTTTATTGGATTTAAACTGACACAATAACAAATAACAAAAAAGTTTAATAAAATTTTACGAAAAATGATCGATTTAGCGAACGCCATGTATATAGTGAAGACTCATGCAGCTGTCTATGCAGTCCAATCTTACTTAAAGAAAAGGTAGGTTTTTTAAGCATAGCCTGATCAGAGTTTTTGGACTATTTAAAGGTTCCATGAAAATGTTAGAAGTTTTACAAATTTAAAAAATTGTTTATTCTATACTTTCGCTTGCAATACACTAAGCCAAATTTTGACTCTGTGAGAAAAACTTCAGCAATTCATGGTATTTTGGTCCGAAAAGTTTTAAATCATCACTAGATATTATTTACTTTGTACAATTAACACTGCATTTACAATACACTAAATAATGATAAAAGAAATCATTTCTAAAAATTTTATTATCCTGCAAAAAATTTAATTTCCGATTTCTATGCATTTAAAGGTATTGTGCGAAAATCAAACCGAAAGATCCTGGAGTTCTGAATCTTGCTCTTGTTCCTGTTCCAATCCAAGATCTTGTTCCAAAGGAACAGAGTGGAGTGAGGATACATGCTCCTGTTCTAGACATGGTAGAGACAAAATAAATTGAAACTGAATTAGAAACAACTATTTTGTCATTACTTGTCAATCAATGTAAAATCAGCTAAAATTTCACTAGCAAAATCTACCAAATGTTAAATTTGCTGTACTTTACACATATTTTTATTAGGCATTCATACATACATATTTAGACCCCTGGTCCTAGACATTTCCTTTTTTGATTTTTACTCTGCTACCGTTCACCACCCCTTTTGTTTCATTGCAATTTAAGACATAAGATAAATGCGGCATATAGGTTTTTAAATGTATTATTGAAGGGGGAAAGCACAAAAAAAGTTATTTCCTTACAAAAAGTCGCCTTCCTTTCAAATTATCAATTAATCAATATTTCTTCAAGACATATATAATTTTTAACGCGTTTGTCCAATCAGAATACATTAAAAAACATAGATATTTCACAAAACATTGCTTTTGATGCCTACAATTGTGTTGACAAGTTGTAAATACTAAGGGGTGGTTAACCATCGCAGAGTAGTGTCTTCAGGTATACCAACTCATGGAGTTCCACATGAAAAATTGGGCCCGTGTCGGTTCAACCATTTTACGTTTATTGGATTATTTGTATGTATAATGTATAGTGTATATATGTATATGTATAATGTAGATACTGTTCAATTGTGTATTTTGAATTTATTTTAGAACGGGATTGTTTGTTGAATCAAGCTAATCTCAGCTCAGAAGGAAAACCAAACAAACTCACAAACAACAGAATAATTTCTTTAACTTAAACTTGATAACAGTTTAATCAAACACTGTGCACACTATTGTTTTAAGGGCTTACATTTTGAAAATGAAAAATTACTAAATCTTGTTTCGATTGGTTTGGTTTATGTCAGGGAGGTTTAACCTGTATCCAGTCTACTTAACAAGTATTATTATTGTTCTCATTATTCTGATCATCACTAGTCTATGCTTTGCATTCTCTAACAGGAACAAAACATGCAGTTAAATAGTCTGTCTATGTATTTATCAATTTCAAAGGAACGACGACAAACAACGTTTATCAGTGAGCAAAAACCTGACCATGTATCTATTCTATATCTATCCCTCTATCCGTCTATCTATCTGGAAGGTTGCCATCCATTGAATGCATCTCTGTCATGTATATTTAGCGCTTGGTATGTAACCCTAGATTCCATTTTGCCAGGCATTCATTGTCAAACCATTATAGAATTGTTTCCAGGAATACTTTCCTTACATAGTTTCAGTGTGTAGTTTCCATACATAGTTTCAAGGTATATATAGTTTCCATATAAAGCTTTAAGGTATTCATAGATTCCATATATAGTTTTCAATGCATAAATAGTTTCCTAATACAATAGATTTAAGGTATAAACAGTTTTTAATATGAGTTTCAATGTCTACAACTTTCCAAATTATTGTTTCGATGGATATAGTTTTTATGCTTGCTTTGTAGCCTTATAAAGTTTTAATGTATAAACAGTTTCATGGCATATATATTAAGTATATGGATTCCTAAAACAAATATTTTTTGACTTTTATTACCTTTAAACCCATAACGACAAAATAAAGTAAATCGAACTCAAAATCTAAATCTTTTTATGTTTTCATTTAAGAGCAATTTTCAGTTTCTAATAATATAGCTGAAAAATGAAAATAATAATAGAGGAGCTACGAAGTCACAAAAAAGTACCAGTAAAGTCTCATACATTTTACTTTTTCCTTCTTTTATAACTTTCAGTGCCCTGACTTGTTTTCCGGAAATATGATAATTACAAATATTCCCTTTTAATGACAACAGCAGTTTCAAAATCATGAGTTTTTACTTACTTTCACATATTTTTTTTAAAGAATGGGATAGGAAATTATATTCTGCAGTATTTGGGGATACGAAGAAGATTTGGAATAAAGATTTAAAGTTAGAATTGATTACATCAATACCAGGCTCTATGATTGGATAATATTTCAGGACTTTATATATATCGGGGATATTCCGGAACTTAGATTCTCTTATTGAAAACCTAAAAATTTCCTACCGCAGTCCACAATTGAGAAAAAAGGAGCATAGGTCTCAGATATTTTGACTTATTTTGAAGTTATGAAATTCAAAAAATTTTGTTGTTCATAATAGCTCTATTCAGGAAGAAGTGTTTTGATTTAGAATTTAAGATAAAGATTTTAATCTAACGTAATCTTTAATCAGGCTTTGAATTCTAGCTTTTAACTATTGAGTGTTGAATTGTTCTCCAATGACTAAAGATTTTATTACGGATTTTTCTGATCAATTTGGTGCATTTTCAAAGAACAATAAATGTAGAATTTTTTTTCTAGGTAAAATATTTCAATTTTAATCACACAATAACATTTCCTTGGATCATGTGAGTTGCAACCAGGGGGCTTGTAATTAACTACCTGCCCGCTATTCAGCTTGAGTGTACAACTAAATCAGTTTACTGATAAAGAATGGCCTAATCATAGAGTACAAACATCAAATATGCAGTGCGCTTTCGTGCAGCAAGTAAGTGGAGTATATACATTTAGTAAAGGATTAGCGTTCATCATCGCTCTATATACTATAACCTCGTTGGTTGCAACACATAATTGGGCCCGATCGGTTCAATAATATAATATAAATATAATTTATTATTCAATCAAAAACAGATGAACATCCTTATGTATATATACTAAATATATTTATATATATATATATAATTACAATTTTTGACTGATTAACTGATTATACAGGTAACGATCAATGTAAAATTCAATTCAATTTAATACGTATTCATTTAAATTATTTTTACGTTCAAGTTTAAAACCAGGTTAAAATAAAATGATATATATATATATATTTATACATTATATAAATCACGTTACATATATGATTTTATCTATATTTGACGATGTCTATCCTTTTGTTTACCAACTGTATGACTAAGAAAGGTGGAGGACGCCTAGATATTCTCAACATGTACTCTCAGATCCCAGGTATACTTTTTAGGAATTAATCGAAAAGTAGGGGAGTGCTACACTACACTATGCTTTGTAGAATTAGTATTAAGTGAAAATTTCATTTTTTAGGTAAATTAAAAATAAACTATGTATGACATATCTGATTAGAGCATGACCGATCGATATCGAATTCAATTAAGATTAACCTAAACCTTGTTATCAGCCTGAGCAGTTTTAGATTCCTAATATTTGCTCTAAGGTAGAATTTAAAAAATTTGAGCCGCCGCTTAAATTTGGGACGCGGCTAGCTCCAATATGGTTGGTTTCATTTAAAATTGTATTCAATGTTTCAAGATTTAAGCCGGCGCTCAATTGAAACCGGTTTTTGGCGGATTTGAGATTCTTTAAATTCGGACTCTGCAGTTCTGTTATAAAGTATAATATTAGTTCACTTAGTTTATAAATTACAAAGGTATTCTTTAATTTGAATTCTTGTGGTATATTGTTGAAAACTTGATATTTCTCTTCGAGATTCTTTAAAATAGTTTAAAGTTTACACATTTTGAAACAAAATATGACAGAAGGAATATCATCTTATTCAGGTGTAGTGTTAATACTTCAGATTTAACAAATTCATTTAAAAGGAATTGAGTCTTTGCTATTAACAAAAATATTCTAATCCTTATATCTTTGCAACTCGATGTAGTGAACCTTAGATATTTCAAACTTAGATTATTTGATTTAACCGAATTCAAATTTTGAAATATCTAAGGTCTAAACTTCGGAAAGACTCAACTGTCTTGTAAAAATGTGGAATCTTTTTATTTCAAACATTTAGGTATATTCCTAGAGAACGATTTTTGGACCCCCCCCCCACCGGCCCCCCCCCTCCTATCAATTTTTAGTCAATTAGCTTAATACTATTCTTGTTAATTTCATTAAATATTGTTTTCAGAGGTGTTCCACCCACAGCATACACAATAACGCTTTGCTCTTCCCAGAATTTGGACAAAGCTATGTAAACAAATCAGTTCTGTGAGAAGAGTGAGAATGAGAGGGGAAAGTGAAGACTTTGGAAAAACTTTAAACTTTTCAGCTAATGAAAATGTCGGCTGAAATATAAGCTTTACTCATGTTATAAGCTTAAATCTGCAAAGTACTTCATGAAGATTGCTAAATCATTCATCTTTAACATTTGAGGCTTGATCGCAAATTATTCTAAATATTGAGATAAATAATTAAAAGTAAATGGTTCTTAAAATAGTAATATTTAAGTTGTATTTAAAGTTAAAATAAATTTTACGGTTTTACTAGAAAGTAAAGTTAAAGATAATAAAGACATAAACATTTTTTAGATAAATGATTAACTTTGACTAAGCATATTTTTAACAATATTTGATTTAATGTACTAGAAATTTAATTTAATAATGTTAGATAATTTTTTTATGTAAAATTTGAAATTCAATTTTGCTAAAAATAATATTATAAAGCTGTTAATAATGAAATGTTATATCTATATTACCTGTCAAGTCTTTTTTTTCAAAGATTTTTAGTTTCTAAAAACTTAAACACTTAATTTTAATAGTTTTTCAGAACAATATGAATTTCGGTACTGATACTATATAAAAAAGTGCTATTCCATTATTCTAATATTCAATTTTAACTTCACTAGTTTAAAAATGGTTAATTATTTTTAAAAGAAGCAATTAGTTAGGCCGTATCTCAAGGCCATTAAGAGCACTAAACAAATAGTGCATAAACCAGTATAATTCCATTGATAATCTAGGAGACAAAACCTTACAATTAAATATTTTATCATGAAACAAATTTGTTGCAATGATCAATTTGTCGACGAGAAACTTTTTTATGGATGCCCCATTTTAGTGAATTGATGCAGCCCATTTCAATGGCAACGCCTTTTCTAAAGTATGCCTTGAAACAGTTCTTGAATTCGAACAGTTAAAACATTGTTAATATTTCAACTCAATGGCTCCCTTGAAAAGTTCCTCCATAGAATGTTTGTAAAATAAACTGTTCGAATAGGAATAACCCAATTACTACTAACATATAATTTCCTTAACCCTATTCCTGCTGGGGGGGGGGTCAATTTGACCCCCCCCCTGTAGTTTTTTTTACATAACTCAAAAAGTATTGGTCTGAGGCTGTTGAAATTTTCTGACTTTTCCTACATACCCAAAGCCCTCCCCTTAGGCCTAAAACCGGGCTTTAATACTAACTGCCTGAGTCCTCAGGCACACTGCCTGAATGAATGCTATTTCAGGTAACAAACTAAATCTTTGTTTTGACCCACTTCCACTTGTCAGATTTTGATAAAATTTAGCTTTTTGGAAAGCCTTTGACATAAGAAAACGATTTGCACAAGTTTTGCGAAAAAAACTTGCAAATTTTTTGCAAACAACCTATCAAAGGAAATTTGCACATTTTTAGTTTTTCTTGATTAAAAATCAAAAATTTTGCAAAATTTTTGCATATTTGAAATGGCATAGTCAAGGGCTTTTCAAAAATGTATAATTTTTCATTTTTTGGACAAATTTATTTTTGCAAACATTTTTACTATATAACTGGATTTTGCGATCAATATAAATTTCAATTTAATTTAAAACGTCTACATTTATATTATTTTAACGTTCAAATTTAAAACCAGGTTAGAATAAAATGATAATCTGTTTGTTTGCTTGAATGTCTGATCACAGCCCAGAAACCATGGAAAATGTTCTTAGCTTGATATTAAAAATAAATTCAATTTTAAAGAGAAAATTTAGTTTTCAGGTAGAGCTGGTTCCCAAGCTAGTTTTTTTCCGTCATGAATTCATGAACCCCGTCACCGATTTGCTTAAAAATTTGAATGGCGGGTTGAATTTGGGCCCCAATGTTTTATAAAATAAATATGAAAATAATTTTTAGATAATAATTTTAAGACACTGTATAGCTTGTACTTACCTGCTAACTTGTTTGATCCACCTTATATTTAGAACCACTGGACCTTGTCTTTCATTTTGACGCCTGAACTTTGTAAAGAGAGGTGGTGTGGGGTAAATGGGGGTAACCAGGCAAAGCTTGGTATTCACTAGAACAGAATAACGTTTGTCGTTAAAAATATTGACATTTTCACAAGTGTCGTACTTATTCTTAGATCGGGTTTAATAACAAAAAATTTAATGATTAGGACACTGCATAGATATTTTGTTCGGTTGGCTGGTTGATCAATTGGTTTGTTGGTCGGTGGGTTGGTTGGTTGATTGGTTGGTTGGTCGGTTGGTCGATAGGTTCTTTGATCAATAGGTAAGATAAGATAAGATATAGTTTAATGCTAAAAAAAAACATACAAGTTATAATGTTACAGGCAAAAAATCTGCAACTATTTTTATATTGTTTACAATATTTATGTAATTATAGCAATTATAGGTGGAGATTAGCTATTTGCTGTTTATCCCCACCTAATTAATATTAAAATGTTTACAATATGATGAATTTTACTAGACTAGAAAGTTTACAAAAAGTCAGGGATTACTAGTTAAATTAAGAGAGACCGAGGTGCAGCATGACAAAATAATTGATTTTTCAGTTTTAAGTTTAGTACGTTTAACAGAATAAGATTAAGTATGTACAAAAATCTACAAAGTTCTATATTCATTTTATTTCAAAAATAACAAAAGGATTTATTGCACTTTAAGATGTAGGCGTCAGATAACATTTTAAATAAACTTTTTTTAAAGATAAATACCTAAGCACTTCTTTTTGAATTTAATGGCATATTAGGGCATATTAGGGAAGATATTTAAGAGATATTTTAAAAGTGTATTTATGCATAAATGTTACTTGATTAAATTCCGTCAAATCATTTTGCTTAAAGATTTTTTACTTAAAGAAAAGAGGATCGGTATATGAAGCTGTTTTTACATTTTTAATAATTCTGAATGAACGTTTTTTGGAGCAAGCAAATTTTTTTTCATTTCAGGACTTTTATTTCTCCCCCAGGCGGAAACTCCATATTCTACAAATGAGCGAAATAATGAGTTATAAATAGTATGCTTAATGTTACTTGTGGCCGAATTTAAAGAGTTTGAGCGGCGGTTTAATTTTAAGTCGCGGCTTAAATATGGTTGGTTCCACTTAAAATTGTATCAAATGTTTCAAGATTTAAGCCGGCGCTAAATTTAAACCGGATTTTGGCGGATTTAAACCGCGGCTCAAATTCTTTAAATTCCATCTTTGGAAGAGGATTTCTTACATTTGATAATGCAAACACTACGCTAGATGCTTTGTTTTTTATAGCTTTAACATGGTCATTCCAGGTTAGGTTTTCATCAAGATGTAGTCCCACAAACTTAAAGGATCTTGAAAATCAGTGAATTTTTTGGTAACATATGACCTCAGTTCCATGGGAGGCTTTCCATAGTGTTCTGGACCAGTTGTTGTGTGAAAGTGATTCATTAAAGGTCCTCTGTGTTGTGGAACTGCTGGATGATCTCCCAATCGGCTTGAAGTATTTTGATTTGGAGGGCTAGATCTTCAACAACTTCCTGGACCGAATCGTATCTGGGGAGGAAGTCAAACATTTGGTTAAAATCTCTGCCAAAGATGTTGATGCTACTGAACTCTTCACAATTAATCTGGTTTTGTAACTGTCCCGGTTGGTGATGTTGTTGAGTGGTCCCCTCATGTTGGATGAACATCAGCTTGCCAGGGTCATCGCATCTGGTCAGGGTGAACTCGTGTGGGATGGAGGACAGCCAGGGGTATCATCCAGTTGTCAGTGACAAGTTTAAGGGGTTTGAAGCGGGAAGAAGGAGGTAGCCGGAAAGGCTTAGGACTCGTTCATTGGGTAGGGAGGTGGGCAGAGGGGTCGAACTGGCAATTTGAGAGTTGATGACGTTTATGGCTGTTTGACAGAGGTTGGAGCAGTTAAAGTCAATGAAATCCATGTTGGTATCCAGGGTGTTTTTGTAGAGACGATCAAGGCCGGACATTTTTATGATGTCGTTCTTCTGAATTAATTTATTAGAATATATCAAAGATAGTCCTGTAATAGAAGATAATGCATTAGGAATTTATCCGAATAGTGTGTACTTGCATATGACATCATTGGCTGCACTATTGGTTTTGAACTCAAACAATCAAAATTAAAACTCTAGTTATTAAATGAATCAATCATTTGTATGTGCTGAAAATAGTTAACGACATGGTAATAAACCTCTAAATGTGTTTAATCAGTTATGGGACAGGATGCTCTCCTGCTAAAATTAAGCTAAAGTTGTGATTTTGTTTCGCATCTCATTTGTATAAAAATATCAAATATTTTAAAACAGCATTTCTTAGATGTCATTAAGTATAGTTTTCTACTAGCTAAAAGTAGAATGTTAGGCCGGTTAACCCTATTCCTGCTGGGGGGGGGGGTAATTTGACCCCCCCTGTAGTTTTTTTTACATAACTCAAAAAGTATTGGTCTGAGGCTGTTGAAATTTTCTGACTTTTCCTACATACCCAAAGCCCTTCCTTTAGGCCTAAAACCGGGCTTTAATACTAACTGCCTGAGTCCTCAGGCACACTGCCTGAATGACTGCTTTTTCCTGCAACAAACTAAATCTTTGTTTTGACCCACTTCCACTTGTCAGATTTTGATAAAATTTAGCTTTATGGAAAGCCTTTGACATAAGGAAACAAATTGCACAAGTTTTGTTAAAAAAAATTGCAAATTTTTTGCAAACAACCTGTCAAAGAAAATAGTTTTTCTTGATTAAAAATCCGGTTATCTAAAATTTTGCAAAAATCTTTGCATATTTGAAATGGCATGGTAAAGGGCTTTTCAAAAATGTATAATTTTGCATTTTTTGGACACATTTTTTGCAAACATTCTTACTATATAACTGGATTTTGCTATAAAAAATTCAATTTTTGCAAATTTACAAATTTTTTTTGTATATTCTGAAAGTAGAGCACAAGAGCTTTCCAAGAGCTTTGGACATCAAACATGGGATTTAGAGGGGGGGGGGTCAAATTGACCCCCCCTCCCAGCATATCCTGGTTTTCAAGTACCCCAGCAGAGATAGGGTTAAGTGAGGAAGGCCTAAAAGACCTTGGTTTGAAGGAGCTAAAAAATTGCAAACCAAACATTTCAATTTGTCTTAAAATGAAGTTTATCCACAAAGATATTAAAGTTCTCCTTTTTTAAAGGCAAATTACGCAACAAACAAAAAACAAGTTTTTGGTGAGAGATATGCTTAAAAAGTCCTAAAATCAGATTATAGAAAAGACGACATTTTGTGACTTTTTAATTAAACCAATTAAGGCGTCAGGTTTTGTGTATAAATCCCGATGCCTACTCCTTATAATA